CAGGCCGACGCTCTATCCACTGAGCCAAACCGGTTTCGGCTTAAGGTTTATTCTTGAGCGTCCCACCTAATAATTAGGGCTTAATTTTTTTTTTTTTTAATATATTTCATTGATTTCTTACAGAGAGGAAGGGAGAGGGATAGAGAGTTAGAAACATCCATGAGAGAGAAACATCCATCAGCTGCCTCCTGCACACCCCCTCCTGGGGATGTGCCCGCAACCAAGGTACATGCCCTTGACTGGAATCAAACCCGGGAACCTTCAGTCGGGAGGCCGACGCTCTATCCACTCAGCCAAACCAGTTAGGGCAATTAGGGCTTAATTTAACATCATTTTTAAAACTAATTTTTACTTCAAATAGATGATGAACAACATGGGTGGTGATGAGGATGTAGATTTACCGGAAGTAGATGGAGCAGATGATGTAAGTCTATAAATTCTTTTCTTTATTTACTTAAATAGTAAGAAACAATGTATAAGTTGTTTGACATATAGTCAAGATTTTTTTGTGTGCTACTTTTTGATGTTTGTTTTTTTGTTTTGTTTTGTTTTAAATATATTTTTATTGATTTCGTAGAGGAAGTGAGAAGGAGAGAGAGAGAGAAACATCAGTGATGATAGAGAACCATTAATCGGCTGCCTTCTGCACACCCCGCACTGGGGATCGAGCCCACAACCTGGGCATGTGCCCCTGACTGGAATCGAATCCGGGACCCTTCAATCCACAGGCCACCGCTCTATCCACTGAGCAAAACCAGCTAGGGCTTTGTTTGTTTTTAATATAGGGTAAAGCAGTTTTTAAAATGTGCCCATTTTTGAAGGATGGTTACCTACTAGGGAACTGGTGTCTAATGGGCCATTCTTAAAGAGACTAGATTTCAAAAGAATCAATGCATGGAGACATCATATGCCTTATTCAATTAAGAGTTAGTTTAGGGATTATTTTTACAAAGTTAAACAGGTTTTATAAAAGTGAATTGGTCAGAGATTAAGTAAACATATGGACATTGTGAATCTGTAAGAGGATATACTGGGTTACTCTTCTCAACATTTCCCTCCTCTGGCATTCTGTTAACATCGTTAAGAAATTTGTTCAATGCAGTTAGGAAAATACTTACTTAGACAATTCACCAGCTACGATTAGACTTTATTGTCTTCTATCAGTCCAGTGGTCTTTGTATTGAGCCATTTTCTTTCATTGAATGTCAAGAGAGAAGAGAAACCATTTTATACCAAGATTCAGCCTGGTTGACAGGGATTGAAAGGATGGACTCAATTCCTACCAAAAGACACACATCTTCCTCAGCTGTCCATCTGTAAACCCATTCTTAAGTCAGTTGATTAAATTAATAAGCTTGATTTAACCACCTATCTTTGCTACGTGAGTGAAAACTACAGTGCTTCAGCTTTTTAAGGCAAACTTTTCAGTTAGCAAAGGAATGTTTGATCAACTTGGTAACTTTTTTCTTTATTTCCCCTCTGCAGGATTCACAAGACAGTGATGATGAAAGTAAGTGTCTTTGTAAAAATGTTTTGCACAGTAATATTTCACATTAAAGATCACAACTATTAAAATAAAGAAATTGACTTCTATAATTCTTAGAAAAATAGTAATTATTTCTTTATGGCCTCTAATAAATAGCCAAAGCAGAAATTTGAATGAATTGAGATTCAAATTCAAAAAGTAGGCAACTGTTTAACTCTCTCTGGCTGCTTTCCCTATAAGACTTTGATGTTGATGGATTACTTCTTTGTACTTCATACTAATCTTGTTAAAATCCTTTCAGAAATGCCAGATCTGGAATAAGGAATGTTGTCGTCCCTGGATTTTGAGAAAGAAAAATAACTTCTCTGCAAGATTTCATAATTGAGAGAATTCCTGAGTTGATAGCTCTAAAGGCAGATGCTGCATTTGCCTCCTTTAACCCATTTTTCAACCTGTTTGTTTTCTTAAAGGCTTCACTAAGGGTTGATATGTACCATTGTATGGGGCAATTTTAAGTCAGCTAAGGCAATAACCTTATGCATGAACATTTCCCAGACTTCCATGGCGCTGTTGAGGTCCTAGACAATTGATACAGCAGTTGTGATAAATAAAAACATTTCACCTAAGTCTCCTTTACTTCATAACATAGATACTGACATGATAGGAAGCTCTTGGATTATGGAAAGATAACTAAGTTTTAGATTTTAGAACATGAACTCAACCTGGCTGAAACAAATGGATTGATACCTTAAACTGGTAACCTGTTGTTCCTCTGGTATATTCTTCAGGATTGTTCCACTAAAGTTTTATTTTTCAAAAAATTTACTTCACATTATTGTACATAAGTGATCACTTGTCAGTGTTCCAAATGTATTTTAGCTAAAACTAGTGAATGCCCCTTAGATGGTTTTTGAAGCCTGTACATTTGGTATTGTTTGACCCTTAAACTTTTACATCTCTTAGCATGGAGGACAAAGAAAGGCTGTACATTGTTGCTTGAGAGTCTGTACATTTAGACCAAATTTGTATTTGCACTGTCAGTGGCAAATGAGTGAAAAAATGGTATTAATACACTATTGGGGTTTTTTTATTTCTTTTTTTTTTTTTGATCCAGCTTGTACCAGGGCTGAAAACCTCAATTTATGTTCATGACAGTGGGATTTTTTTTAATGTCTACATTCTTTCTAATAAACTGTTGGAAGACTTCTTGGTTGTCCTTTTAAGTGTCTGGTTTACTGTAATTTTATGTATTACTATTTACTGGAATGGAGTTACTTTTACTTGAGGAAGAATTTGGGGATATTTCTCTGTTTGGAAAAAAAAAGGCTTGCTATATAATGTCACAGGAAACCTTTTAAAAGTGGATCTGTAATAGCAAATTGTAGATGCACTTTTCAGTAGTTGGAAAAGAAAGTGTTGTGATTTGATTGAAATAAAACTAAATGTGTTGTCCTCCTAAATCTTTGAGCTTCTGCATTTTGGCAGTTTTTTATTCCCTTCAGCTTCTGTGTATTTGTCATAGCATAGAAATGCTTCATATTTCAGTACTTCTTTGCATCAGACCTGTGTTGCAGGAAATGTTAAGTGCTGGGGATACAAAGATTAATCTTTCAGGTGATTGCTGTGTTCAGAGCTCACAGGCTAGGTTGGGGGGACAAATATTGGACAAAAACTTGGTAGATTGGAAGTGCAGTAATAGATATAGATATGTCATAAAACAACCTTCTTTTCTTCCCCTGTTATGGCTGTTCAAAATGATATTCAACACCATATTCTTGAAAGGCTACAATGAGAAAAATTTTCCTACATTTTAGGAGCCCTTGACATTCAACAGTTGACATTCAACTCTGTTATGTTACAGGAGTAACTTGGGTTCTGATTCTACTAAGGGATTGCAATTTCCTCAGAGCCATAGGTTTTTCCGAATTGGGAGGTATGTTTGAAATTTTAACATGGTTTTCTTGCTTTGGAGCATGCCAACATTATCAGTATAACTGATAAGTCCTGCAGTTCTTAGCTTCAGGGGAGGACTTAGTAAAACCCCCAAATCCTATTTTTAGTTTGATTCTCTTGAAAAACTATTTTTGAGGGTTGAGGATCAAACCATTTTTTATTGAGCTTCAGGGAAGGATTGAAAGGCTAGGATGCCAGAACCGGTTTGGCTCAGTGGATAGAGCATCAGCCTGTGGACTGAAGGGTCCCGGGTTCGATTCTGGTCGAGGGCATGTACCTGGGTTGCGGGCACGTCCCCAGTGGGAAGCGTGCAGGAGGCAGCTGATCGATGTTTCTCTCTCATCGATGTTTCTAACTCTCTATCCCTCTCCCTTCCTCTCTGTAAAAAATCAATAAAATATATTTAAAAAAAAAAAAAAAGAAAGGCTAGGATGACAATGAGGTCCGAGATCCTCAGCCAGCTGGGATCTCCCCAGTTTTATAATTGCCAAAAATGGAAAACTGTTTTTGTGTGTCAGATATGGAAGTTAAAGAGTTTTATTAAGGATTCATTGGCTTTCCGCCAGCCACTAGGCTATATAGCATTAAAGTATAGCTTGATGGATTTCTGATTCCATCTGTCTTTAAAGGTTCTTTAATTTTAAAAATCTGTGTTAAAACGTTTGAATGGTTTTAAGTTTGAATGATAACATCTATTTTTTGTACATTTTGATATGCAGTGATAAAAGTGCTATATTCAACTTCCTAAGCTGTTAAGTTACCTTCAAGGAAGGGGGAAAACAATTAGTTGCTACAGTAGCACAAAGATTTTATTTACCAACTTAGTTTTTGGGCTAGTTTTAATTTCTGTTTAGCAGGAATCCTTTTGACAAGAAACAAGTGATAATGAACTGACCTTATATGCCAAAATCAAACAAAGCTGTTACCCATGCCTCACCCAGCATTGGACCAGGCTTGAGATCATAGGCTGGGATGGAGAGAGGAGGCAGGTCCCTTGTCTACTGTAACCCCTAAATTATTTTATCTTTGTATATGCTTTTCAGGCCTGTGGACTTAAACATTAACCACACATGATTGGTTATTGGATGTATGTCACCACAAATCTCTACCCTTTAGGACACCTGACATGATTCAGTAAATACATTTCAGGTATATTATAGTGTGGGTAATGTTTTGTGAGTGGGTCTGGAGGCAAGGAAACAAGTTAGTGCAAGAATTTAAATGGCAAAAGGTAAACTTAGGTACTGGCAGAGAGATCTGGAGAGGCAGATCCCAGAGATATGTAGGTGGTCAAATAGGGTTTGGTGATAACATTTAAGGCTGCCAGTCTGCTTTTTTTTTTCCTTTTTTTTTAATTGATTTCAGAGAGGAAGGGGGAGAGAGAAACATCAATGGCGAGAGAGTCATCGATTGGCTGCCTCCTGCACGCCCTATACTGGGGATTGAGCCTGCAACCTTGGGCATGTGTTCTGACCAGGAATCAATTTGACCTGGTTCATAGGTCAACTTTCAACCACTGAACCACACCAGCTGGGCTTGCTTTGCTCTTAATACTTAGCAGTCTTTTCCAAAGTGAAAACCAAACCATGTCATTTGCTTTTAAGTTACATTGTCAACCTGGATAATTTCATTGTTTATGTGAAGAACCTATCTAAAACTCTGGCCTAAATTTCTTAGCCTTATGTCAGTGACCTTTACTTGCATACTATATTTAGCAGCCCATCCCCTTGGCTGTATCATGATGATCCTAAAGTCAGGAGTGGGATAACTATAAAAGCTGCTTCCCCTGCAACTAATAGCTTCCATGAGGAGTATACCTGTCCCTCAACCGTTGTTCTTTTCTCACAACTAATTAGCCTTTAGCTCTGGTTCCTTCCCTATCTCTAGCCCTCTGCCTCATCTTGAACCCAGTGGTTCTCAAACTGCCAAAATCATGGGGTTCTGATAATGTGGATTCCTAGGTCTCGACAAAGGCTTTATTAGGTGCATGTTGGGCCCAGAAATTTGCAATTTAACTGATACTTGAGATCAGTGAAGTGTGGTCACCAGACCAGCAGCATCAGTCCCACCTAGAAATTGGTTAGAAATGTAAATTCTGGGCCCCCAAACAGACTTTTCAATGAGAAACTTGAGAGGGTAAAGTCCAGTAAGCTATCTTAAGCTTTCTAGGTGATTCTGATTCAAAGTTTGACAATCACTGTTTTAGATAACTCCATCTAGCTAATGATTACCAGATGCAGGTAGTTCCTGGTCCACTCATGGGAAAATAATTCATTAAATTCTTTTCTAAATATATTTTGACTTTTAATCTTTTAAAAAATTTTTTTATTGATTTTTAGAGGGAGTGGGAGAAAAACATCGTGAGAGCAAAACATCCATCACTGCCTCCTGCATGCCACCTATTGGTGATCCAGTCAGCAATCTTTTGGATGCCCAACCAACTGAGCCACAGCCAGGGCTTTATTGATTTGAAAGAGAGAAACATCAATTTGTTCGACTTATCCATGCACCTGCCGGTTGATTTTTTTAAAAAATTTTTTGAGAGCGAGGAAGGGAGAGGGATAGAGAGATAGAAACATAAGTGAGAGCGGAACATCATCAATTGGCTGCCTCCTGCACAGCCCCTTCTGAGGATTGAGCTTGCAACTGAGGTACATGCCCTTGACCAGAATCGAACCTGGGACCTTTCAGTCTGCAGGCTGACACTCTATCCACTGAGCAAAAAACCGGCTAGGGCCTACTGGTTGATTCTTGCATGTACCCTGACCAGGGATCAAACCCACAACCTTGGCATATCAGGACAACTCTCCGACAGAGCTACCCAGCCAGGGCCTCATTAATCAAATTCTTACCTAATGATGGGGGAAATCCTTCTAAGCATGATAAATAAAAGTTAACAAATCTAACATTAAAAATTACATAGGGCCCTAACCGGTTTGGCTTAGTGGATAGAGTGTCTGCCTGCAGACTGAAAGGTCCCAGGTTCGATTCCAGTCAAGGGCATATACCTTGGTTGCGGGCACATCCCCAGTAGGAGGTGTGCAGGAGGCAGTTGATCGGCGTTTCTCTCTCATCGATGTTTCTAACTCTCTATCCCTCTCCCTTCCTCTCTGTAAAAAAATCAATAAAATATATTTTTTTTAAAAATCACATAGGTTGCCCTGGTCGAGTAGCTTGGTTAGAGCACTTACCTGATGCTCCAAGGTTGTGGGTTTAATCCCCGGTCAGGACACATAAAAGGATCAACCAATGAATGCATAAATAAGTGGAACAGCAAATCAATGTTTCCCTTCCTCTCTAAAAATTAATTTTAAAAAACTACATAGGTCAAAGATACCATTAGGTTAAAAGATAAGTGATATACTAGAAGAAAATACTTAAGACATTTAACTGCATTTGAAGATCACAATCACTATGACAAGGTAATAGGGAAAAAATGGGAATTCACTGAAGAAATAAATGACCAATAAACATGAAAGAATTCCAGGAATTTGCAATTTAACTGATACTTGAGTTCATTAAGTTGTGGAAATGCAAGTATAATCAAAGTAATTTTATTCATTTTTAAAAATTCCTCACCCGCCGAAACCGGTTTGGCTCAGTGGATGGAGCGTCGGCCTGCGGACTGAAAGGTCCCAGGTTCGATTCCGGTCAAGGGCATGTACCTGGGTTGCGGGCACATCCCCAGTAGGAGATGTGCAGGAGGC